TTCTCACGTTCTGGGAAAAGACAGTGGCTAAAGGTTTCTGCTGCCCAGGCACGGTAAAGAGGTCCAAATCTGGAGTTCCTCAGTGGAGCAAACTTCATCACGTTATCATCACTTTTCTAGATTAGTTGCCCACATACTTACGAGGTTTAAAGAAGGAGCAAAACATTTATAATGATCTACTGAAGAGGACCAAGGGGAGTTGAACAATTTCCACTGAGTGGATCCATATCTCATAATCTGAAAAAAAACTTCCCCTTATAATAAAAAGGAAGGTTGCATGCTGCCCACCTCTCTTTATGCACTGAGTAGTTGCTTCATAAAGGTGAATTATCTTTCAGGTTGAATTCAGCTCCTGTGGACTTAATCCACACAGTTTTCTTGGCAATAGAATAGAAGAGGTTTTTCTTTTTCCTCTTTTCTTCCCAGTCTAGCTACAGCCCCATTTCTAATAGGTTACCAGGAACATTTCTGGGGGACTGTACATGAGATTTTTTGATGATCCTGCCCAAATACTTCCCTATATTTCAGCATCATTCACTGGGAATTGTACTAGCAACTACCCAAGCTCTTAGCCCCTCATCTGAAGCTGAAAGACAGAAAAACACCTCCCTGATAGCTGATGAAGTCCTGGGAGAAGCACAGAGGTAAGTTTCTATTGTATTATTTTTGTCAGTTTAAGTGGCCAATGAAGTTGAATGAACTAAAAAAAAAAAAAGAGTCAGACTTGGTTAGTATCTAGATGGGAGATCATTAGGACTATAAATTACCCTGAGATGTTGAAGAAACACCCCAGAAGAAGACAAGGAAGGACAAATAACTTCTGAGTTGTTGTCACGAATGCTACACGTGACTTCAAGGAGAATTTACTTTATATGGGTGTAGATTGCTGGTTTCTAAAGAAGCAATCTATTCATTAAAATAAGTACAGTATTATATCCAGAAAGTATCCTGATTTCAATTACTGTGAACACTGGTGTATTTTGAAGGAGAAGATGGTGGCTTCTTCCCTGATTACCTTTAGAAAGGTCTGAGAAGAGCACCCCATCTCATCAATTTCTCCTTCACTAAATATTTTCTACATGCATCAGAGCTTCCATCCATAGAGTCCACAATAATATTTATCCCCTGTAATCACCTCTGGCTATTTCCTCATTTTTGAACTCTCAGAGAGTTCAAGCTGTCCTCATTTTATTGGTCAGGAATCAAATTTTGAGATGCTAAGTCAGTAATTGAAGCAAATTGCTGAGAAATCAATATCCTGTCTTCCCTGAAGTTTGATATATTGCAGTGTTTCAATGGAATTCTTTTTTATATCTAATTTTTATTTTAAAACATTTTCAACAGAATACAAACAATACAAATTTTGAAATGAAGAGAAGAACAATAGGGAAAAGTAATAAGTGAAAAAGAAATAAAGCAACAGAAATAGAAAAAAAGAAAAAAAGTGATAAAGAAGTCGCTTCCAATCTTAACAGCAGTTATAAGTACATTGATATTTTACCCTCACTCTCTAAGGTTATATCATAATTTCCTTCTTTCCATAATCTACCCTTTCTAATCATCAAATCCATAAATCACCAGTTCATTTTCCCCCTTTTTTTCAGCAAAAAGTCCGTAAGGGGGTTCTGTGTTTCAATGGAATTCTGTAGA